AGTGCTTATGCTAAACGGTGCCACCAGGACCATAGCACTCTGCTTATGCTAAACGGTGCCACCAGGACCACAGCACAGTGCTTATGCTAAACGGTGCCACCAGGACCACAGCACACTGCTTATGCTAAACGGTGCCACCAGGACCACAGCACAGTGCTTATGCTAAACGGTGCCACCAGGACCACAGCACAGTGCTTATGCTCTCTCTAACATTTAACAGCCCTGGATGCCACACCTCTCTGTTAGACTATTTCATGATCATTACATGACATGAAGCTGAACACTCAACCCTGTTAAATCACCAGCTTTAATGGGGGCAGGCAGAACATTGGATGATGACTTTAACCAACAATTAACTGGTGATTTGTTTAAGTAATACATATATGATTCAGCTTGCTATTTCAAATCCTTCCTGCCTCCAGACCAATGCTGGCTATGGCTTTTCTCATCTGAACTTTAAATATGTTCAGGCCTTTAATCTGGTCTGTCTAAAAACGCGATTGAAGTTTAGGTGGCAGCATTTCTCCTGAACAGAGGCACCCAGGTCATATTACAGCCTCACTACTCATAGCAAACACAGTCCTCCTACCCTCGCAGAATGCCACGAGCAGTGTATCTGATGTATTTTATCTACACTTTACTCAGTAAGATGTGCAGTTGGTGAAGAGGAGTAAGGTGGAAGAAGTGCGTACCAGGTAGCTGAACTTTGACAGAGGTGGGACTGATAAATAACTAAAGAAGGACAACGAGTGGTAATGAGTGTCTCTCTAAGGTGGACTCGCACTTTCAAGGCAGCCTCGGGCAGAAGGAGCACATATACCCGTAGCTACAAATGCAGGGTTATCCAAGGCATGAGATCACTGCCAAAGCGGTCAGGTCCGTAAGGATGCTCTGCTGCTGTGCCATCAGAATTTCGCACCCTATGGCTGTTGCACTGCACCACTTTCATTGAACTACTCAGTGGCAGCAGGGCCAGTTTCACAGGATAGAGACAAAGCTTTTAAAGCTGTCAGTCAAACTTCAGAATTGAACCAAAGGGGCCAAAAGGGATGCAGACTCACAAAGTCCTTCTCCAGCTTGTCCATCTCCTGCTTGTAGCTCTTCAGCCTGCTGTTGTACATGCCTCTGCTCTGGGCCGGCATCTCCCGCACCTCCAGGTCCATCTGCTCCAGCTACCAAAACAAGGGGCACTTTTACCTTCTTGCACATGTATCAGACAGAGCCAGGAGGTGGAGCTTTTCCGTACTTTACAGACCTTTATTTACTCAAATTTAAGCACATTAGTAGTGTGCCCATAATATTAATGAGGCATTTTATAAACTTATATATAAAGTTATTATATAAACTTAGTAATCAGTATAAATTTAAGAAACGGGCTTTGCATTCTGATTAAATTTAGCATGTGAATTACATGTATCTTTCAGACTTTAGAAATATTTATTTAAAAATCACTTTGAGATGCAGCCTTTTCCTTGCACCACAATGTTTTCTTGTGAGTTATAACGTTTTTGTTACTTCAGCCGCATGGCACAGCAAAAGCTTGTTGTAAAGCTCAGATAGAGCTTACAGCCAAGTTCAACTTTCTCATTTCAAGGTCAAAGTTCATCTCACAATCAGCATTTTTTTCTGTATCTGGTTATTAAAACAGTGAAGGCTGGGAGTAACAAGTCATTTATTAATGTAATATATAGGTTTTCATATCATCTGTATATAATACAGTGACCTGCTACTTGGTCGTGAGAGAAGCACCCCAAATGTGCCCAAGATTTAATTTTATTTTACTTTTTTATGCTGTATTTCAGTAAAGGGCAATATTAGTTTAAATACTAGAACTCGTGGCCATAAGTGGAAATTAGTGGGAGAACATTTTAAAACAAATTTGAGGAAGCACTACTTTACACAGCGTGTAGTTAGAGTATGGAATAGTCTTCCTGCTAGTGTAGCGGAAGCTAAAACCCTGGGTTCCTTTAAACAGAGCTAGATAAGATTTTATTAACTCTGAGCTATTAGTTAAGTTCTCCCCAAATAAGCTTGATGGGCCGAATGGCCCCCTCTTGTTTGTAAATTTCTTATGTTCTTATGTGAAGGGAGGTGAAATTCTTCCCATTTAAGTCAGAAGAAAGTACTATTCACATGCTTTCAAATGAAAAGAAGTTATTCAAGGCTTCTTGTGTTGGAGTTACAAGGCTCTGAACCAAATAGATACATGAATGAATAAACAAACAAACAAATCACTGAAACTACACACTAATCACTCTTGTTCACTCTGCTAAAATCAAATGAATAGCCAAGAGAGCACCTGAGAGGTTCTGTTACCTGTTATGTAGAAAAGGTGCAGTATTTTGAAGAGAAAATCTAACAAAAACATTTGAGCTCTGAAAGGTACTAAATTTCATCAACCAAAAATGGTGAAGCAAAAACTACAGACGCTCCACTACTTACGAACTTTCAGACATACAAACGAAGAGGACTGCAAGTCCAAATTGTGTTCGTTGGGCTCCCGTTTCCTGTCCGCAACATCAGTTTCTTTTTTTCTGCATGCCAATTCCTCCTAGTATGACTTCTGCCCGCTACTCCCACCCCGCAGCAGCGTAGCGTGCGGACTCCCAGCATCCTAGTTCTTTGTACTTGCGTATACCCTTAAAATGATGTTGAATAACGACTCACGAACATTTCAAGTTACGAACGGCCGTTTGGAACGTAACTCGTTCGTAAGTAGAGGAGCGTCTATTTATTTTTGGTAGTGATTTAAAATAGAATGACCCAAAAGCAAATTACAAATGAATAAAAATGGCAGATGGCAGATGAGCTGCAACAGCAATGTCACTGTGACTGATAATGAATGTTGCTGATATGGGAAACTTTCTAAATTCATTATTTAGAAAAAGAGGTGAACAAAATGAACGATGAAAGACATACCAGCTCCCGGACTTCCTCAAGCTTTTTGTCGACATTTAAAACCAGCTGCGTCTTCTCCTCTGCAAGGGAAAAACCAAAGAATATTGATCGGCTGAGGTACAAAACTCTTTCAAGCCAATTCCCCATTTACATTTACTGTCTCTTTGCATATAAATGCACATCTGATGTCTCCCTTCTATCCAGCCTGGGTAGGGGAGACTTTCTGCACTGACCCAAGGAGCAAGCCATCAGAGATTCATACTGTACAAAACATAAAGTCATCAGATTGCAGTCCCTCTGCCCTGCACGTGGCCTCCACTCTCCCTCCCTCCACTCTGTGCATAGTCTCCACCCTGTGCACAGTCTCTGCCCTCCCTACACTCTGTGCACATCTTTTTTCATATTGGGCATTTAATGGGAATCCCAAGGGAATTTTAAGCAGAAATAGATCCTTAGAGTACAGCAATAATAACTTGAAGCATATCATGATAATTATCAATACCAAGAGACTGAGAACAATTATCATGATAAAATATTTAGCATATAGTCTAGCCTAATTTTGGAGTTTAAGCTTACATTTTACCATAGGAAATTTGAGGTCTCTGGAGGTCCAAAAATCAAGTAAGTGATCTAGGTAGGTTTCTGTTTCAGCACCATGGCTAGCTCCACCGTGCAACTAACAAAAACTAAACACTGGAGTATAAGGTCAACAAATCAAAGGAAAAGCAAAGCAAAGCAAATCAAAATTACCATTACCAAAACTGGTCAAATTTGTTGACAAAATTGAAAGTTAAAGGTGATGGATACCACTAATCTGGAGAAAATACACACACAAATCCCCTAAATAACAGAGTAGTAAAAAGAGCAGAAGCTGTGTTAGTGTTCTAGCAAGATTAATGAGGACTCTATCCCCAAAAGCTCCATTACGATAGGCTTCACTTAAGAAATTTACAGTGGGTAACTGCTTCACACCTTAAGACGCCAGCCTTCAGCACTTAAACTGATGCTACAAAGACATATCTGTGATTCTGACCTTCTTAAAACACTAAGGACCAGTAAAAAGTACAAATCTTTCTGGACAAGCAGGCAGTGTTCACATTCAGAAATTTTATAACTGGTCAATAATTTAAAAGCAAGTACTACTCTTTATATTGAATGCATGAGTTGATCAACAGAGGCAGCACAACACATTTCATCAGAACATCCCACACATTTCAAAGTCATATCACCCTTGAGGGCACTGACTCCTCTGCTCATTAAATACATTTTTAAAACATGTGTACAGCCGCAGAGGCCACATAATAAACAGCCAGGGGCATTTTCCAAGGAATGAAACAATGTTTTGACTCCCAAATGCAGCATGTCAGTATTCCAGCGGCAAGGTGCAGCAAAAGCTCACTGAGTCTGTTAACATCCTGGCCAGCAATGGGCAAACTCAGTCAGAATATAACTTATACATTTTGTTCAATTATTAATAACCTGTGATTGACAACCGTCCTGTTTCAAAAAGCACCATTCATGTAGAACAGACGAAGACCTTGCTGCCCCCTCCATCCTATGCCAACATTTTTAACAGTAAGAATCTGGCCAGTTTGAGTCACCAATGAGAACCGAGCATGGATGCTTCAGTTCTTATACTATAATTCTTTGTCATGAGCAATAATAACAATAAGTGCAACAGGGACTAGAGAAGCAGGCAGCTTTGTTACCACTATTACTGTTAAAAGAAATAAAATAGGCTCATATCAGATAACCAATTTCTAAGGAGCACAATATGGATTCAAACATGGATACATATATATATATATAAAATATATTATTATACTAGCTAATACAGATGAAAAATGTATACCAAAAAATGTTTAATCAGGCTACTGGTGACATACATAACGCACTGTTCCACCTCGTTTGTACGTCTTGTTTTAAGCGTTTTTGAGGCATTTCGCAGTTCAATATGAATGTCTTCCAAGCTAGGATACGCAAGTGCTGAATGCTTAAAATGCCCCACAATTTTTCTTACACTTTGTTGCAGTAGCAGCCCCTTGGGTATCACAAGCTGTAGTGAGTGCATAAAACAGCCCAAGCTAGGAAGTCCCAAAATATCCACTGCTTTTTCCATACTACTGTTGTTGTCCTGCAAAATTGCATACACTTTATTTGTGGGATTTTACATTAAATGCTACTCCCACCTCTCAAAACGTTGTTTTTACAAAAAATGTGAATCATAGTGCTACTAGTTGTTGTTAAAAGTGTAAAATACTTCCAGACCGTCACCCGCTTCTCTTACTCCTAAGGGTATGCGCATGACATCACAGCAGGAGGAAGTCACTGTGCTCACACCCAATGAGTGGCAGAAAAACTGAGTTAACGATCACCTTGAATGCTGCAAAAAAACATCTAAAATGTGAAACAGCTGTCGTGCAATTGACTGTAGAAAAAGATTTAACACGAAATATGAGCTATCTGTTTAGAGATGTTTTTTAGATACCTGATCTGTCAAATAGGTCTGGATCTGCGCTGATGCATCCTTAAAAATAAGTCAGACGAAGATTAACCAAAGCGGGCAGAGGGCCCGACACTCACACAGGGACTAACCAAATTGGGCAGAGGGCCAGACACTCACACAGGGACTAACAAAAGCGGGCAGAGGGCCCGACAGTCACACAGGGACTAACAAAAGTGGGCAGAGGGCCCGACAGTCACACAGGGACTAACCAAAGTGGGCAGAGGGCCCGACAGTCACACAGGGACTAACCAAAGAGGGCAGAGGGCGCGACACTCACACAGGGACTAACCAAAGAGGGCGGAAGGCCAGACACTCACACAGGGACTAACCAAATTGGGCAGAGGGCCCGACAGTCACACAGGGACTAACCAAAGTGGGCAGAGGGCCCGACACTCACACAGGGACTAACCAAAGAGGGCAGAGGGCCCGACAGTCAAACAGGGACTAACCAAAGCGGGCAGAGGGCCCCACACTCACACAGGGACTAACCAAAGCGGGCAGAGGGCCCCACACTCACACAGGGACTAACCAAAGCGGGCAGAGGGCGCAACACTCACACAGGGACTAACCAAAGTGGGCAGAGGGCCCGACAGTCACACAGGGATTAACCAAAGCGGGTAGAGGGCCCAACACTCACACAGGGACTAACCAAAGTGGGCAGAGGGCCCCACACTCACACATTGACTAACCAAAAAGGGCAGAGGGCGCAACAGTCATGCAGAGATTAACCAAAGCGGGCAGAGGGCCCGACACTCACAAAGCAAGCACACAGTACTGTCTGACATTTTTATGACGATGATTACATTGTAGAGTACATTATTCACGTCTTGTTGTCTTATTCTGTTTGCTATCATCCTTTCATTCTGAGAGCTGCACACGTTCCCGTGGCCCCGGTCGCTGCAAATAAAATCGCTGCTTCACTGTACTCTGTTCTATTCTCTCCTATGTAATCGCGATGTAAATGTACTGTACTGGGAGCCACAGACAGGCGGAGCTCGTAATGATAAAAATGTGGACTGTCTGCGCGTCTCCCAGGACCGGGATGGGAAACACTGCTATAGACTTTCGAATGCCGGCTGTATTTCAACACACTGGGACTATATGACTGCTGACACACTACAACCGGTTACGGACAACATGAAGTGAGCATTTAAATCGAGAGGCCGGTACACCTGCCTAATTAAACCAAATAACTAGCGTTATATTTAAAGCTACCCGTCATGGTAACAGTGGGATAATCTTCTAGAATACGACATCCATTTGACTCTTGAGGCAATCGGAATTTTTACCGTTGTGAAATCTCGGTGTAAAACATTTCAAGTAATATTAGCTGCGGGCGAACTGTTGACAAGCACTAGCTGAAGGCAACCGGCTAACCAGCCGTCAAGCTTAGCTTAGTTAACCTACCTCCAGCGAGCTTGGGAATCCTCCCTATTTTGCTGGTTATTTCTGCCGTCAGAGTCGCGAAGTCCTGCTCGTATGTTTCAAAATCCGACGACATGACGGCCTTTACAGTTCAAAAGTAATTCGACAGTTCGAGACCAACAACACGAAGTCAACAATCCGCTAATCGTCAGCGATGCGTCACTTCCGGAGTTACAAACAAATATGTCTGATCGTAAACTGAGGTGTAAGTGACGACTGTTGTTCAAAAACTCTTCTAAGTGCCTTGTTTTTATAAAATACATTTCTGTAAGTAAAAATATTATTCCACGTTTTCTGTGTGTCCTTACCTAACAAATTAATACTACAGTTGTATTTTGTAGGTGATGTTGAACATACGCGCAGGCTTGTGTGAAACTTGACCTACGATTAATTAGCCCTGACTCGGCTCAGCTTTTGGTCACTAAAATGGGCGGACGGATAATCGTGTAACACTTTCAGGAAGTATCTGGTGAAGCAGGCGAGAAGAACAAACCAGGAAGTAACAGGGGAGGTTGGTTTCCTTTAAAGGAACAGTTAACAAGTGAAAAAATGCCTTTTCTGCAATATAAAATACCTTATCGTGCATGTTTAAACTATTCTTTACTAAATGTGAAGAACATGGTGTATTTTCCTGACATTTATCTTATGTAAGCTGTAGAGAGTATGCGGCTTTATGGTGATCACATGAGGTGTAAGATGACATGGAAAAACATGAGACAGGCGGTAAAAATGACTGGAAAGAGAACGCCGGCAGAAAACTGCAAAAAGAAATATGCTCACTTATTTTAGATTTAAATAACATATGTCATTTCGATTTCATCTTGATAAATTTGTGTTACTTGATCGTTGGTGCGGTTTTCCGCGTAAAAATCAGTTCTATTTTTATTTAGCAGGATGTCAGATTAGCTGAACATAAAGCTCCTCACTTCACACAGGAAACATGGCCAATTAATTACAAAATGTAATCGTTTGCAATGATTATCATACAAACCTTTATTGGTTTGTTGCTGCAGATGATGAGATTTGACCTGTAATAACACATTAGTAGCATGTGGTATACTTGCATCTGTATCTACATCTGTAATTATATTAAATATCAAATATATTTTATTTACGTTTCTGATGAATGTTATGTATGTTTCTGAATTTAGCGAATTAACTTGAACCTTTGATAGTCTGTTAATTTGGAAATTTATGGTCTAGCTTTCTTGTTCAGTGATTACGTTCCTGGGCAGAAAAACAAGGTGTTTATGCGTTAGTGTGTCATGACGTTTTTGATTAAATGGGAATTAGTCTGTTTTACAGGGTTTCTATTTTTTTGTATTTATGCTTTGATGGGCTCACATTTGCTGTGCTAGATGACACAGTTGTAACTCTGATCATAACACTGTAAATAAGGCATTGGTTGTTTCCTGCAGCTGGAAGGACGGCCTCTCTCATGTGAACAGGATGTTCGCAATAATGTTGAAGGAGGATGCTGCGGAGCATTGGAGCAGAGGACTCTCGGACACAGACGGCTCGGATGATCTGTGACGAAGCGTCTCTGTGGGAACTATTGATGATAAGACTCAATCCTTCATCATCATCTTTGCAATTTTCTTCTTCCATTTTGATTTTGCGGGGAGGGAGGTGAGACACACACGTACGCCCCTTCGCCCTGCCATCTTGATACTGCCATCAGCATCCTACACACAAATGAGTATCCTGTCCTACGTCGTCAAGCTGGAAAACCTTCAGGAGCTCCGTAGGTTGTGCCACTGGGGCCCAGTGATTGCACTGTCTGTCATCGGGGTGTGCTCCTCTGTGGCCATCCTGGACTCTGTTATCTGGTTCTGGCCCCTTGATACCACAGGGGGGAGCATCAATTTCATCATGCTCATCAACTGGACTGTGCTTATCCTCTACAACTACTTCAATGCCATGTTTGTGGGTCCTGGCTACATTCCTCTTGGCTGGAAGCCGGTATGTGGCCGCCTTACCTGGTTTCAAGCTGCTCGTAGAATAGAGGCAGCCACCACAGTGGTCAGAGGGATAGTGTGTACTGACCATGAATGTGTCAGTGTGACAGGAAGACAGTGTAAAATGTATGGACTGTAACTGGCAGACTGTGTAGCATGCATGCTGTGTGACAGGCAGATGGTGTAGCACACGTGCAGTGTGATGGGCAGACAGTGTAGCACGGATGCAGTGTGACGGGCAGATGGCATGGCCTGCGTGCAGTGTGACTGGCAGACGGCGTGGCCTGCGTGCAGTGTGACGGGCAGACGGCGTGGCCTGCGTGCAGTGTGACTGGCAGACGGCGTGGCCTGCATGCAGTGTGACAGGTAGACATTGGCTTGGCTAAAGGACCTGTGATGGATTCGGTTTCCCCCCGACAGGAGAATGTTCAGGATTCTCCGTACCTGCAGTTCTGCCGGGTGTGTCAGGGATTCAAATCGCCACGGTCCCACCACTGCCGCAAGTGTAACAGGTGAGACACGGGTGTTTGTGCAACACATTGTCACACTCGTTATCATGAATAGCAGTGCATTCAGCAGCAGCATCAAATCAGGCACCTTTCATTCTGTCTTATGTAGTGTGATCACTAAGACTGCAAGGCCAGTAAAAGCAGTGGGGAATTTTGCAGCTAGCTAACATGATAGTGAATCATACTGTCATGCTGTGCTGGTTCTAACATCCTGTCACTGTAGCTTGTACATAGCAGCTAAGATGGTGCCTGGCTTGTTTCGTCTCCCAGGTGCGTCATGAAGATGGACCACCACTGTCCTTGGATCAATAACTGCTGTGGCCACCTGAACCACGCCTACTTCACCAGCTTCCTGCTTCTGGCCCCGCTTGGATGCGTCCATGCAGCCTTCATTTTCATTATGACCATGTATACCCAGCTGTCTGATAGGGTGAGTGTGAGGGTCACGTCCTCGTGTCACGTCCTCGTGTCATGTCCCCTCTCATTCCCTTGTCCTTCTTGTCCTCTGAGGTGCATGGTTCTGACCCTAACCCGCAGATCTCGTTTGGCTGGAGCTCGGTGAAAATCGACATGAGCGCCGTGAAGTGGAGTCCCCAGGCCATCATTCCGTTCAGCGTGCCTGCCTTCGCCGCCACACTCTTCGGTCTGGGTCTGGCACTGGGCACCACCATCGCTGTAGGCATGCTCTTCGTCATACAGGTACACTGTGCTCCTGCTGCAGGTAACACTCATGCTCTTTTTCCTGTAATCAGTCTCATCGCTTTTCACTTTTCATTCAGATGAAAGTGATTTTCAGGAATAAGACTTCGATTGAAGCCTGGATTGAGGAAAAGGTGAGTGTCCTCAACCCTTGTTGGATGGTGCAAACCCTCGCTCTCTCACTCCATCGCTCTCACAGTTTGTGCCACATGGCGTGTTGATGCACTACAATGAAATTTCCTTCCATTTCAAACAAACATAGCATAGAGCACTTGGCAAAACATACCGGAGCCACTAGGTGGCGTTGTGCTTTAGGAGCAAAGAAGCCCACAGAAACACTATCACACAGCACACCAGTCACTCAACCAGAGCGGCCTAAGTTACTTTGAAGCCACATAAAAGCACTACATAATTCACTTGGAAAACGTTTGGTTCACAGGCCAAAGATCGAATCCAGTACTACCAGACCGGGGAAGAGTTCATCTTCCCATATGACCTGGGTAGCAGGTGGGAGAACTTCAGGCAGGTGTTCACGTGGTCCGGAACCCCTGAAGGAGATGGGATCGAGTGGCCAGTGCATGAGAGGTGCCATCAGCATACTCTGACGGTACGTAGGTCTGAGCCTGTGCCTCAGTCCATCTCAGTAGGAGTCTTTGCACAGTGTCTGCATGCATCTCTCTGACTGACTGACCACACACCCTGACGGGATTAGGCCTGTGTCTACAGAGGCTACAGAGACCTGACAGCGCTTTAGGATGCAGAACCATTCTTGATGAAGCAGTCATACTTGCACTGCACACACAACACACATGTATGTCAGTATTCATAAAGGCATGAGGGCTCAAATGGGAATGGAGAGTTCCAGTCTGCTCTGGACACACATTTGATTGTGTGCTGCTGCATTCAGAGTTGTATCATAGTAACCGTAGACTACATACGTCATTGTTTAACAATTCACATCGGCTTTTAGACCTTTAGCTGACAGACTATCTGCATTATACTGTATATGGACCCCAACTTTAATGTTTATGCTCTTGCGGAGCGAGAGCCTGGCAGCAGCCCTGACTTCCTGTGTTGCCTTTTTTTCATCTTCCAGATCGAACAGCTAAAACAGAAAGCTGACAAGCGGGTGCGAAGTGTAAGTAGCTGCATTTCACATGTTTGCCCATAGTGGTTTACTATGGCCTGTGCCTGCCTGTGCCATAGTGATTCACTGTAGCCTGTGCCATAGTGACTCCAGGGCTCCAGGCTAACTTTTTGCATTGGTTGTACTGGTGCATGTAATTATTTTTTTAGGTGCACCCAAATTGTGGCCTTTCTAAAACTCAAATGACTCAAGTGTGAGCTACTCTTAGATATGGATGTGTCTCTTAGACCAGTGTTTCTGAAACTGTACATTTACAAATGTTTTAAAGGTATTTTTATTATTAAGAAATCACATTTACCTTGAGAGTATAACTGACATGTTTTATAAGATTATCAATATATACTTAGATCAATAGTGGCACTAAGCTTTAATAAAATGGGCCTATATCAATGAATGTTTATGTGCTTTATTGTTTTTAAATTGTTTACATTTAGCCCAACAATGTTACCAACGAGTTTCGTTAGACCCACCCCTTCTCTGCCTTTAATTGGCTCTGATGCTGAAAAAAAACAGATAAACCTGCAAAATTTTAGGCACACCAGTGCAACCAAGGAAAAAATGTAGTCAGACTGGACAGATTTTTGGTCACATGTGCACCTCATACCTGTTTATGCTGTAGCGATTCACTGCTGCCTCTGCCTGGCTGTGCCATAGTGATTCACCATGGCCTCTGTCTGTGCTATCATGATTCTTTGCAGCCTGTGTCTGTCTGTGCCGTAGTGATTCCCTGCACCCTGTGCCTGCCTATGCCGTAGTTATTCACTGTGCTTCTGTGCCTGCCTGCGCCATAGTGATTCACCATGGCCTGTGCCTGCCTTAATTGTTTGCACTCTCTGCAGCCTGTGCAGCCTGTACCTGCCTGTCACATGCC